ATACGGGGCTAGGTGGGAATTGAAGGCCCAAAAATTCAGGAATGTCAGGGTTAGGTGTTGAGGGTTGTGGGAAAAGGTGGAAGAGGGTGGGGGAGAAGATTGGGAATGGGTTGGGAAGAAGGGTTGGAGTTTCTTGGAAAGGCACTGGGAAGGGAAAAAAACCAGGAATGGCGAGGCTAGGTGGGAATGGAAGGGGTGGAAAGTTGGGAATACAGGATTAGGTGGGAATTGAAGGGGTGGAAAATCAGGAATATGGGATTGGGTGTTGAGGGTTGTGGGAAAAGGTGGAAGAGGGTGGGGGAGAAGGTTGGAGAATCTTGGAAAGGCACTGGGAGGGAAAAAAAGACTGGGAATGTCGAGGTTAGGTGGGAGTCGAAGGCCCAAAAAATTGGGAATGTGGAGTTAGGTGGGAATCAAAGGGTAAAAAAAAATGGGAATGTGGGGTTGGGTGTTGAGGGTTGTGGGAGAAGGTGGAAGAGGGTGGGGGAGAAGGCTGGGAATGGGAATGGCTTGGGAAAGTTGGGAGAGTGGAAAAAAACCCGGGAATGTTTGGGATAGGTGGGAATTGAAGGCCCCAAAAAATCGGGAATGTTTGGGTTAGGTGGGAATCGAAGGTTGAAAAATTTGGAATCCAGGAGAATTCCCAACAATCCGTGGCCGGCTGCCTCCGGGATGGACAATTCCATAAATCTCCTATTCCAAGTGCTCATTCCAGAGCTCCAGGAATATCCAAGAGAAAAGGTGGGAAAATCCAAGGCGTGGAAGAAATCAACAACTCCCTGCCCTGAATTCCCTCCCAATCCTCGGGAATTCCGGGAAAATCCACCTGGAATTCCAATTCCGGCTCCACGGAGGGACCGGGAGTGGAATCCCCATCCCGGAGGGAATTCCAGAGGAATTTTGGGATGAGGATCAATGGCGGCTTTGGAAGTGTTGGGAATTCTTGGATTCAACATCTCGAAGGATTTTTCCAGCCTAAAGAATTCCGTGATCCGGATATTCCGGAAAGGGAAGAAGTTCGGTCCTGGGGTCCCTCCACTCCCAAATTCCAGGAAAATTTTCCAGGGATTTTTTATTTCATGAGCTCCTTCCCATCCCTAAAATTTGGTTCCAGCGGGAAATCCGGGATCGGCCACATCCGGCCCATTCCAAAACATCGGGAAAAACACGGATGGGAACGGGAGGACAGGGAATTCCAAACCCTGTGGATTACGGATATTCCCAGAGCTGCCATTCCAAGGCCACCGCTCCAAGGGCACATTCCGGTGAATCCCAAGGATTCTCCGAGACCACCGGGAAAAGGAAAATCCCTGGGATTGGGAAGGAGCCGAACGCTCGGAATATTTTCCCGAGGTTCAAAGTCCGAGGATTTCAGGCTCCTGGAAGCGTTCCCGTTGCCGTGGCAACGCTGGGTGTTCCTTCTCCCGGGAGTTCCAACCTCGGAGCCGGGAATTTCTCCCGGATTTATCGGCACCTCCGGCGCTGTACGCCCACATCCCGGCATTCCCGAGGGGAAAACCGGAGAAAATGATGGAATTCCGGAGCCAGAGGGGTTGGAAGGCTCCACCAGGGCCATCCCGATGGAAAATTGGGTCAAAATGATGGAATTTTGGAGCCAGAGGGGTTGGAAATTTCCATCAGGGCCATCCCGATGGGAAATGGGGTAAAAATTATGGAATTTTGGAGCCAGAAGAATTGGAAAGTTCCACCTGGGCCATCCCAAGGGAAAGTTGGGTCAAAATTATGGAATTCCAGAGTCAGAGGGGTTGGAGAATCCCACCAAGCCCATTCCAGTGGGAAAGAGTCAAAATGATGGAATTCCGGAGACTTTAGGGGTTGGAAATTTCCATCAGGGCCATCCTGATGGGAAACTGAGTCAAAATTATGGAATTCCGGAGCCAGAGGGGTTGGAAAGTTCCACCAGGGTCATCCCGATGGGAAAATGGATCAAAATGATGGAATTCCAGGGACTTTAGGGGTTGGAAGGACCCACCAGGGCCATCCCAATGGAAAAATGGACAAAATGATGGAATTTTGGAGCCAGAGGGGTTGGAAATTTCCATCAGGGTCATCCTGATGGGAAACTGAGTCAAAATCATGGAATTCTGGAGCCAGAGGGGTTGGAGAATCCCACCAAGTCCATTCCATTGGGAAAGTTGGGTCAAAATTATGGAATTCCAGAGCCAGAGGAGTTGGAAAGTTCCACCAAGGCCACCCCAATGGGAAATTGGATCAAAATCATGGAATTCTGGAGATTTCAGGGGTTGGAAAGGAGGGACGTCCCACCAAGGCCATCCCAAGAGAAAAATGGACAAAATCATGGAATTCTGGAGACATTAGGGGTTGGAAATTTCTATCAGGGCCATCCTGATGGGAAACTGAGTCAAAATCATGGAATTCTGGAGACTTTAGGGGTTGGAAAGCCCAACCATGGACATCCTGATGGGAAACTGAGTCAAATCATGGAATTCTGGAGCCAGAGGGGTTGGAGAATCCCACCAAGTCCATTCCATTGGGAAAGTTGGGTCAAAATTATGGAATTCTGGAGCCAGAGGGGTTGGAAAGTCCCACCAAGGCCACCCCGATGGAAAAATGGATCAAAATTACGGAATTCCGGGGACTTTAGGGGTTGGAGAATCCCACCAAGGCCATCCCAATGGAAAACTGTGTCAAAATTATGGAATTCCAGAGCCAGAGGGGTTGGAAAGCCCAACCAGGGTCATCCTGATGGGAAACTGAGTCAAAATTATGGAATTCCAGAGCCAGAGGGGTTGGAAAATCCCTCCCAGACCATCAATCCCAGCCATTCCCGCTCCGTATTCCCAAGGAGGGAACTCTCGGCAGAATCCCAGGAATCCCGGCACAGGGATGTCCTTCCCTGGCCAGATGTGGCCCCAGGCATGGGAAACATCTCCAGATGTTTCATTCCAGACTCCACGGAAAAATGGGATGAGCCTGGAATTCCCCTGGAATTCTCCCGCCCTTCCTCCCCCTGCTCTGGCATCACCAAATCCCACCCCGAGCCTGCAATTCCCGACGGGAATTCCACGGGAAGAGCTCCATTCCAACCCCAATCCCAACAAATTCCCTCTTTTGACATTCCTTGTTCCCAGAAAACCCCGGGATAAGGACACTCAGCTCCTCCCTGAATTCCAAACCCAATTTCCAAACCCCGGGAAGCTCCCAGCGGGACCAGCTGGACCCGCTGGGATTGGAATTAGTTTGGAATTCTTCCCTGAACTATTTCATCCGGAGCTGATTCCCGACAGCTTTTCCTGCTTTTTTTTTGGGATTTTTCCAAGGAAAATCGCGGAGCCGCTCGGCGCCAGGTGTGGATTCCAACCGAGGGGAATTTAGGTCGGGGTTTTGGAGGTCGTTTATTCCCAAACTTTTTTTTGTCTTGGATTAATTCCGTGACCTTGCAGGCAAAGGAATTCTCAGGCTCTTCCCAAAAAAAAATCCTTTCCCGGTTTTTTCTATCCCCGCCCCAAATTCCCGGTTTTGGATATCGGGAATAAGGAGCTGGGAAAGGAAAAAATTGGGATAAAGGATTTTTGGGATTGAGCCAAGCTCAATTCCTGCTGCGAATTCCCTAAGAAGCGATCCCTGTTTTCCTTCATTTCATGGAATTCCGGGAATTCCGATTCCTTAAATCCCATCCAATCCCTCCCAGGCTGCCCCAACCTTGGGGATGAAATTCCAGGACTCTGGGAATTTTCTGGGAATTCTGTGCCAGGCAGGAATTTTTTTTTCCCAGGATTTTTTTTTTTCCAGCTGCTGATCCCGTGACTCCATGCCGGGAATTCCCATCACTCCCTCCACTGGCACCTCCGGATCCGGGAATTCCTCAGGATAATCCAAGGAAACTCCACAAGTGGGGATTTGATTCCTGATCCAAACCCATTTCTCCCTGGAATTTCTCCCAAGGGAAAGGAGATCTGAAGCACCAAAATTCCCAAAATATTCCTTAAGAAAACCCCAAATCCAACCAGAACAACCCCGGCTTTGCTCCTATTCCCAGAGGATTTTCCCTCCTCGCCCCAAATCCCAGAATTTTGGGAATGAAATCCCTCAGGAATGCGGAAAAATTGCGATTTTACAGAAAAGCCATTCCAGGATAATTCCAGAGTTTGGGAATGTCGGCCAGGCCGGGAAAACTGGAATCCCACGGGAATCTCTTGGACATTTCCAAGACCCAAAGCGGCTGCAGCTTCCATGGATGCAACACCGGGAAAATCCATGGATACAACACCAGGAAAAATCCAGGAAAACCCCTTCCAGTCCATCCCTGGGATCCACAGGGAAAAAAAAAACGGGAAAAGCGGGAAAAATCCAACTCACCGACATCGGATTCTTTATGGGTTTTGATGATTTCCGCCAGCTCGAAATTCCCTGCAATGATGGCCACCTGGAAAAGAGCCGGAAAACTGGGATGAGCCGCTCCGGAGCTTCCATATGGATGGGAGCAGCTGCTTTCCATGGAAAGCCAAGGATTCTTCAGCTTCGGATCATCCGGGAATTCCGGGACAGAGTTTGGAGAGGGTTTGGGTGGCCCCGGCTTGGGGATGATTCCTGTTCCCTGGAATTCCCGGATTCCGGATGGGAATTGATCCCTAAAGCCCGGAATGTTTCCTTGGTGTTGGGTTTGGGGAAAAATCCTGGGATTTTTAAGAGGTTTGGGATCGGCCGCTCCAGCTGGATTTGGTGTTGGTTTGGGGGCTGCGGATGAAGGGTTTGGGAATTTTTCCAGGGATTGGGAATGTCCTGGGAAGCCTCTTCCTGATGGGAGGGGATTTTCCAGCTCCCAAATTCCAAAATTCCCAAGTGTCCAAATCCTCAAATCCCCAATTCCCCGAATCCCAAAGTGCCCGAATCCCAAAATTCCTCATTCTCCAAGTCCCTAAATTCTCAAATCCCCGAATCCTCAAATCCCTGAATCCTGAAGTCTCCAAATTCCCAAATTCTCGAATTCCCAAATCCTCAAAATGCCAAATCCCAAAGTCCCCAAGTCCCTAAATTTCCAAGTCCTCACATCCTCAAATCCCAAAATTCCTAAAATCCCCAAATTCCTAATTCCTCAAATCCTGAAGTCCTCAATCCCCCAAATCCCCAAATCCCCAAATCCTGAAGTCCCCAAATCCTTAAATTCCCAATTCCCCAGATCCCAAAATTCCCAAAATCCTCAAATCCCCAAACCCTGAAGTCCTCATATTCCCAAATTCCCAAATCCCTAAATCCTTAAATTCCCAGTTCCCCAGATCCCCAAATTCCCCAAATCCCTAAATCCCTAAATCCTCAAATTCCCAAATCCTCTCAGGATTCTGTTCCTTTTCCAAGGATTCTTCCCCTTTTCCAAGGATTTTGCCCCTTTTTCCCAGGATTCTGCCCCTTTTCCCAAGGTTTTTGCCCATTTTCCAAGGATTCTGCCCCCTTTTCCAAGGATTCTTCCCATTTTCCAAGGATTTTGCCCCTTTTCCAAGGATTCTTCCCCTTTTCCAAGGATTCTACCCCTTTTCCCAAGGATTTTGCCCCTTTTCCAAGGATTCTGCCCCTTTCTCCAAGGATTTTGCTCCTTTTCCCAAGGATTTTGCTCCTTTTCTCAAGGATTCTGCCCTTTTCCCAAGGATTCTGCCCCTTTTTCCAAGGATTTTTCCCCTTTTCCAAGGATTCTGCTCCTTTTCCCAGGATTCTGCCTTTTTTCCATGGATTCCCCTCCATCCCAACCATCCCCATCCCAAAAACCCCCACCAACTTCCCCTTCCCACCTCCCTATCCCACAAAAGCCCCACATTCCCATCCTTTTCCCGGAATTCCGAGCCCTCATCCCATATCCTGCCCAGCTGGGAAAATTCCCGCCCGGAAAAAAAAATCCCTGGATCCGCCACTGAGCTTCTGTGGGAATCCCAGGAATCCCAAGGATGATTCCCGGGAATTCTGCTCACCTGGAACGCCGTCTGGCTGTTGTAATTCCGGATTTCCTTGCTGGCTCCTCGGAAGAGGAGAACCCGGGCACAGCTTTCCTGGGAATAAAAAAACAAAAAAAACCAGGAAAAAACGGGAATTAGACCAGGATTGGGAGAAATTGATCCGGAAAATTCTTTGGGAAGAGGGAGGATGAGAATTCCCTAAGGATTCGGTATTCCCGACCATAAAGGGAGCAATTTATGGAATCATGGAATTCCATGGTTCGGTTGGAAGGAATATTTGGGATCATCCAGATCCAAATTCCAAGGATTCTGCCCCTTTTTCCAAGGATTCTGCCCCCTTTCCCAAGGATTTTTCCCCTTTTCCCAAGGATTCTTCCCCTTTTCCAAGGATTCTGCCCCTTTTCCAAGGATTCTGCCCCTTTTCCCAGGATTCTCCTTTTCCCAAGGATTCTTCCCCTTTTCCAAGGATTCTGCTCCTCCCATGGGAATCAAAGGGATGAAACCCTGGAATGTTCCCTTGGGAAATCCCAAACCCGGCTGGGACAGGAACGGGAACGGCCTCATCCCAGTCCAGGGATGGATTCCCCCTCTGGATTCGGGAATGTCAATCCAGGAGATTCCCGGGGTGGTGTCGCCTCCCCCGTGCTGTCCCTGTCCTTGTTCCTTTCCCATCCCTGTCCCTGTTCCTTTCCCATCCCATCAATCCCATCAATCCCATGGATCCCATCAATCCCACGGATCCCATCCCATCAATCCCATTGATCCCATGGATCCCACTGATTCCATCCCATCAATCCCATGGATCCCATGGATCCCATGGATCCCATGGATCCCATCCCATTCTATTGATCCCATGGATCCCATCAATCCAACCAATCCCATTGATCCCATCCATCCCATCCCATCAACCCCATCTCATCCCAATAATCCCATCCCATGGATCTCATGGATCATCCCATCCCATCCCATCCCATGGATCCTGTCAGTCCCATCCCATGCCACCAATCCCATTGATCCCATCCATCCCATGGATCCCATCAATCCCATGGATCCCATGGATCCCATTCCATCCATCCCATCCCACCAATCCCATGGATCCCATTGATCCCACAGATCCCATGGATCCCATCCCATCGATCCCAGCAATCCCATCAATCCTATGGCTCCCATCCAATGGATCCCATGGATCCCATTGAACCCATAGATCGCATGGATCCCATCTCATCCCATTAATCCCATGGATCCCATGGATCCCATGGATCCCATTGATCCCATAGATCCCATGGATCCCATCCCATCAATCCCATCCCATCCCATGGATCCCATCCCACCAATCCCCCGGATCCCACCGATCCCATGGATCCCGGGATTCCCGGGATTCCCACCTGGTTGTAGAGGGCGCAGAGGTGCAGGGCGGTGTTTCCCGAGGCGTTCTGCGCCGCCATGTCGGCCCCGTAGAACAGGAGATGCTCCAGGTGCTGCACGTGTCCATAGCGACACGCCTGCTCCGGAAAACCGGGAAAAAACGGGAAAAAACGGGAAAAAAACGGGAAAAAACAGGAAAAAAAGGGAATCAGGGAGCGGCCAGAACGGGAAAAATTCCCCCTCCAAATTAAAAAATGAAATAAAAAATCTCCTGCTGGATCCAGCTTTGGAAAGTCGGAATTCCGTGGGAACGGAATTATGGAATTCCACCTGGAGGACATCCGTGAGCACCAGGAGAATCCAACCCTCAAATGGAATTCCACCTGGAGGACATCCGTGAGCACCAGGAGAATCCAACCCTCAACCCCAGTGATGGAACCACTGCATCCATGAGCACCAGGAGAACATTCCCAGGGCTGGATCCCATCCCAGCATATACCACCTGCTGGATCTCCATCCATGGCCACCAGGAGAACATTCCCATCCCAGCAGATCCCACCTGCTGGATCTCCTGCCAGCCCCATCCAAGAGCACCAGGAAAACATTCCCATCCCAGAAGATCCCACCTGGTGGATCTCCACCCATGGCCCCACCCATGGCCACCAGGAGAACATTCCCACCTGGTGGATCTCCTGCCAGCCCCACCAGGAGAACATTCCCACCTGGTGGATCTTCATCCATGGCCACCAGGAGAACGTTCCCACCTGGTGGATCTCCTGCCAGCCCCACCAGGAGAACGTTCCCACCTGGTGGATCTCCTGCCAGCCCCACCAGGAGAACATTCCCACCTGGTGGATCTCCTGCCAGCCCCACCAGGAGAACATTCCCACCTGGTGGATCTCCACCCATGGCCACCAGGAGAACATTCCCACCTGGTGGATCTCCAACCATGAGCACCAGGAGAACATTCCCAGAATCCAACTCTCAACCCCAAGGATGGAACCATCCAATCCATGGCCACCAGGAGAACATTCCCATCCCAGAAGATCCCATCCCAGCAGGTCCCACCTGGTGGATCTTCTGCCAGCCCCATCCATGGCCACCAGGAGAACATTCCCACCTGGTGGATCTCCATCCATGGCCACCAGGAGAACATTCCCACCTGCTGGATCTCCTGCCAGCCCCACCAGGAGAACGTTCCCACCTGGTGGATCTCCTGCCAGCCCCACCAGGAGAACATTCCCACCTGGTGGATCTCCTGCCAGCCGTTCTCGTCCAGGCAGCCCAGGCGCGCTCTCTCGTGCAGCAGCAGCTCGCAGCAGTAGGGGTCCCCTCCCACCAGGGCGCTGTGGTAGAGCGGGGTCAGCCCCCGGCTGTCCCGGTAATCCGGGGACGCCCCCAGGTCCAGCAGAGTCTGCCCGGAAAAATGGGAAAAGCGGGAAAAATTCCCACTGGGGGTGAGGAAATGGGGATTTGGGAATGGGGAGAGGGAGAGGGAATGGGGAGGGTAAAGGAGGGGAAAAGGAGGGAGGGGAAAAAGGAGGGAAAAAGAAGGGAAAAGGAGGGAAAAGGAGGGAAAAGGAGGGAAAAGGAGGGAAAAGGAGGTAGAGAGGGAGATCTGGNAAAGGAAAGGAAAGGAAAGGAAAGGAAAGGAAAGGAAAGGAAAGGAAAGGAAAGGAAAGGAAAGGAAAGGAAAGGAAAGGAAAGGAAAGGAAAGGAAAGGAAAGGGAAAGGGAAAGGAAAAGGAGAAAAGGAGAAGGAAAAGAAAGGAAAAGGAAAAGAAAGGAAAAGGAAAAGAAAGGAAAAGGAAAAGGAAAAGCGGGAATGCCATCGGAAAAGCGGGAATGGCCGATCCCGGCACTGACCAGCAGCGCCGCGTGGTTCCGGCACCTCACGGCTTTGTGCAGCGCCGTCATTCCCTCGCGGGTTCGGAAATCCAGGTGGGCTCCGCCGTTCCGGAGCGCTTTGATCATCTCGGAGCTGAGCTCCAGCTGCGCCGCCGCCGTCAGCGGACATTCTGCGGGGACACGGGAATGGGGCTGCCATGGGATAATCGGGAATTTTTCCATGGAAAGGGACTTGGTTGTGGATGGCCGGGGGGGTTTGGAGTCGCCACGAGTTGGAGGAATCCGAGAAATTCCGGGATAGGACCCAGCTTGGAATTCTTTGCCCGATAATTCCGTGGGATTTGGAGGAGTGGAATTCCAAGGTCATCTCATCCCTATCCCTGAGAACATTCCCATCCTATTCCAAGGGCAGGGAGAATTCCCGCCATTCCAGGTGCTCCAAGATTTTCCTCAGATATTCCCAGGATCCAGGGGCAGCCCCAGCTGCTCTGGGAATTCCATTTCAGCCGGGAATTCCTTCCCAAATTCCCCTTTCCCAATCTGGAGCCATTCCCTGGCTCCTGTCCCTCCAGGCTTTTCCTAAATCCCGGCTCTCCTGGAGCCCCTGGAATGTTCTGGAAGCTCTCCCTGGATCCTTCCCTTCTCCAGACTCCAGGTCCCTTTCCCTCCCCCATTCCCGATTCCCAGTTTTTCCCCCCTCGTTATTTCAGGGATTTTTGAATCCTCTTTTCTCATCCCAGCATTTTTCTGGCCCCGCCGTCCCTTGTTAAATATCCAAGGATTTTTTTTTTCCGCCGTCCCTTGTTAAATATCCAAGGATTTTTTTTTTCTGCTTTTCCCACTTTTTTCTCTCCGACAAAACCATCCCTGGAGTTCGGCTTTCATTCCAGAACAACAGAATCTTCTCCTGGATCCGGGGCTTTTTTTTATTCCCAATTTTTTTTCAATGTCCCCGCAGGAATCAACCGTGGAATTTTTTTTTTTTTTAGGGCTTTTTCATCCCTTTCAAATCCCGGGAAACTTTCCTGGAATATTTTCCCAGTGACCCCGAAAAGGGAACAGCCTCAAACGGGGCTGGAAGCGCTTCCCAAAGTGGATTTTTCCCTCTTTTTCCATCCAAGGAGAGCCAGGAAAATGGGAAGAAATCCTTGAAGGAGTTTAAAACTCTTCCTGAATTCCATTAAAATGGAGATTCCCAAAGTTTGGGATCCATGGGATCAGCTCAGGTTTTCCAAGGAAAATTTTATGGCTCATCCCAGTTTTATTCCCAGTTATTCCCAGTCCAGGAATGGGATTAAATCCTGCAGGAAAATATTTTTCCAAGTGGGATTTTCCAGTTTTTTCCACGGGATCAATCCCAAAAATTCCAGCAGGAAAATTCCCAGTTCATTCCCACCCTGCTCCAGGCCCGGGATTCCCAGAATTCCATGGCAAACAAACCAACATTCCCAAAAAAAACCCCCAAAACTCCAAATCCAGGAATTTCGGAGAGATTCCAATCCCTTCATTTCTCCAAATCCCATGGAATTACCGAAGCTGGAAAAGGCTGGGATGGGAAACGGGAAAGGGAAAATATTCCAAGAGGAGAAATGTGGGATCGTGTCCCGCCGGAACCCGGAAGAGATCGGGAAGAATTATCCCGAAAGAACACCAAATTCCCAAAATCCTCAAAAAAAATGGGAATTACGCCATAAAACCCCCCCAAAAAAACACCGGGATAGAGCGGAAAAAATTCCAGAGGGAATCCCGAAGGAATTACGGGAACGTCGAGCTCCCGAATCCAAAGGAAAAGTTGGAACTGACCTCCGGTGTCGGGATCGTGGAAGTTGGGATCCAGCCCCTTCTCCAGCAGCCGGGAAACCTTCTCCGAGTTCAGCATCTGCACGTATTCCATGAATTTCTTCAGATTCGCCTGGATCCGGGAAAAACCACGGCGTCAGCATCCCGAAAATTCCGGGAAAAATCGGGATAAGGAGACGGAATTCCAACCCCAATCCAGGTGGAAAATTCTCATTCCGGGCTTTCCTCAAGTTGGGATTGGTGGATTATCCAGTGGGAATTCAGAATCCCAAATTTTGAGGTTGGAATTTGGTTCTGCTGAGCCGGAATTCCCAAAGATTTTTCCGGAATTCCCAATCATTGTGATCTTTCCTGGTTTTTTGGGGTTTTTTTTTATGGCTCGGTGACATCATTTTTGAAATTCCCAGATCTTGGGAACTCAGAATCCCAAATTTTGGGGTTGGAATTTGGTTCTGCTGAGCCAGAATTCCCAAAGATTTTCCCAGAATTCCCAAATTGTAGGGATTTTTTCCATTTTTGGGGTTTTTTTTATGGCTCGGTGAAGTCGTTTTTGAAATTCCCGAATTTTGGGAAAATCCCATTCCCAGATTTCCAGGTTTTTCGTTGGAGAAATTTTTTTTCGGGAGTTTAAAAATCCGACTTTGGGAAAAAATCCTGGAAAATCCCGGGAATTGAGGGGAAAAATTTGGGAAAAGCTCCAAGGAAAGGGAGAAGTCGAAGCCGGATTTCACATCCAAGGGAAAAAAAATTCCAATTCCAACATTTCCCGCCTTAATTATGTACGGAAAAATCCTTTTAGGGAGGGATGAATCCTAAAATTCCCTTTGGATTCGGACGTTTTCCGGTTGGAAAATTGGGGAAAAAGAACTCGGGATGAGGTTTGGAAATTCCTTTGGAAGGGAATTTGGGAATTCTCATCCCATTCCAAGGGCTTGGGCTCTTCCCGTTATCCCAGGTTGTTCCAAA